TCCGGCTTACTCTCCAAAACGACGTCGTTCCCGGTGAAGCAGAGTCCCTACGGCACCAGCCTTTGCTTTACTAGAAGGAGAGTAGCATCATTGTCGTCTTCCTCCAGGAGGTCCTTCAATTGCACCGCTATCTACAAACCCGATGTTCAGATCAGGGAGGAAGGCCAGCCTGAAACCCTAGACTACCGGCTCTTCTTCGTCGATCGCTCTGGTCAAAAGGTTATCCTCTTCCCGTTTTCCATTTTCTCTTGTGTTTTGTTTGGATTATGAGAAAAATGCAGGATAAAAGTAAATAATGTGAAAGCTTCCCATATGTGCATATATGGGGTTATAATTGAGGGATTTAAATGTTTTTTAAATATATATGTTTATAGATATTCAATTTTTTTCAGCTAATGGCTTGATATTAATTTCAAGTGGCATATATCATTTGCTTCATTGAGGCCTCTCTGTTTCAAAAATTTGAACTTGATTTTAAATTTGCAATTTTCCAGATTATGTTGTTTTGTGTGGGCGAGATTTGGGAAAATGGAGTCGATGAAATGAAATGAGACATTCAGTAACCACGTTAGGGCCTTAGACATGACTGATGGAATGCCCTGGTTTGTGCTTATAGGAATATGTTTATGTGTTTTCTTAGTTTGAGATTAAGTCCTTGACTATATGTGTGTAATCGTAGTTCGAACTTGTATTTAAACTGTGTATGTAAATGTAATTGTGAAAGGAATTTCAAAATTTAGGTGTGTTGAGTCCTGGTTGGTCTCTACACACTAATTAGTTCACTTTGTCTCAACTTGCTATAACAATCTGTTGGTTTATACATAGGTTTCGCCTTGGCACGACATACCTTTGCAAGTGGGTGATGGTGCATTCAACTTTGTGGTTGAAATACCCAAAGAATCAAGTGCAAAGATGGAGGTTGCTACTGATGAGCCACACACCCCGATAAAGCAGGATACAAAGAAGGGGAAACTTCGTTACTACCCGTAAGAATTAATTTTTTTCTTTTCCTAAAGTTATATTACAGTGTTTGTTCTTGTCCTGGTGCTTGGATATGTTACCCGAATCAATATAATTTTTGGCTAAGAGTGTATCATGAATTAGACGCAAGCCACTGTTGGTGCTAGCTTTTTATTTATTGATTTACTTTTAAATTCCTTAAAGTTATCTTTTTGTGAATACCTTCAGCAAATCGTTCTCAGGTACAATATAAATTGGAATTATGGGTTGCTTCCGCAAACATGGGAAGACCCAACCCTTGCTAACGCTGAAGTTGAAGGAGCCTTTGGGGATAATGATCCTGGTATGCTTGCTTATCCTTGTGTTTTTTTGCCGCTTTTTTTCCTAAGGCAAGTGTCACTTTTAGAAGAAGAAATAAAACCTTTGTTTTTGCTACAACTTGTAGTTGATGTTGTTGAGATAGGCGATAGTCGGAGAAGGATTGGCGAGATTCTCAAAGTAAAGCCTTTGGCTGCTTTAGCTATGATTGATGAAGGGGAGCTTGATTGGAAAATTATTGCAATTTCGTTGGATGATCCAAGGGCTTCTCTCGTTAATGACATTGATGATGTTGAGAAGCATTTCCCGGTATGTATTGTTTTCTAACCAAGCACTAAGATTTCCATAATTACACACCACCATAGCCACCTTAATCAATGTATTTATTATTTAGGTGTTTTCAGTTTTTAAATTCGTTGTTACATGATATTTTTACTGAATGAGAATGGATAGTTAGTTACAATGTATCTATCTTCATAAACTAGATGAACTAAGTAATAAGTTTTTTTTAAAGGACACAGTGTGTGTGTGGTGGTGTGAGAGAATTTTGTACTGAAATGAAGTAAATGATGATAAATGTTTTTCACAGAGACTGTATTTGAGGATACAATTCTTGTGGAAGACAACAACTTAAGGCATTGTTGTGCATATCAGATCTTATTTTAATTGTAATGAATCTTTTAACCACATTACCTTTGGATTTTACTAATTGCTAGCGATGTATGGTTTACTTCAGGGGACTCTCACTGCAATAAGGGACTGGTTTAGAGACTACAAGATACCAGATGGAAAGCCTGCTAACAAGTTTGGTCTTGGCAACAAAGCAGCAAACAAGGTAATTTTACAGTTACCTCTTCAGTTGCTATCCGAGAATCCTTTTTTAGTACTATTTGTCTTGTTCTTGTTTTGTTTTTTTTTTTTTTAATTTATCTTGACTGCCAGATTACTATTTTTCCTTTCTCTCCTGATTGGTTCCTTTATCGATTCAGTCACTAGCTTTCAAGGGCCGCCCTACCCTCTGGCCTAGTAGCATAGTGCTTCTTGCAAAATGCAAGTGTTGCAAGGAGGCATGACAAGATTTGTCCAATTAAAATCTGATTTTCTGATTTCAAAGTCTTCAATATTTGCATCTATAATACATAATTAATATAAGAATGTCTCTTTATGGTAATTGGACTTGAGTGTAATAAGGAGTTGACTTAAAAACCAGCCAGTGGGATTGGGGTGCAGTCTGGAGGGTTTAAGGCAACGGTGAGGTACTTGTTTTCTATGCAGTTTATTTATTTCTGACTTTTGATACGTTTGATATGTCGGAGGAGTCAATATTTAGGAATAGGCACGCTTTAAACGCAATTCCACTCGGACTTGAATGTATTAAAGAGTTGACTTAAAAACCAGCCACTGGGATTGGGGTGCGGTTTGGAAGGTTTAAGGCAACGGTGAGGTACTTGTTTTATTTGCAGTTCCTTTATTTCTGACTTTTGATACGTTTGATATGTCGTCGGAGTCAATATTGAGGAATAGGCACGCTTTAAACACAATTCCACATGATCCACAACATGAAGGCGGTCGAAACATTTGACACAGGATACACAAATCTACCTTAGCTGGGGAGTAATTGCAAGTCTATTCATGCATCAATGTGGAATTAGTGGGTAGTAGTCATGGCATGAAGGAAAATATAACTGCCACGTAATTAGGTAGTGAACTTTGCTTTGGGTTCTAGTTAGTTTTGGGTTTTAGTGGTTTCTTCTTTTTTATCTGTCATGTTTGAATGCAAGGTTTTATTAGTTTGACAGATGAGAATTATACCCCTAGTCTGTTTAAGCAATCATCCAACAGTTATGTGATTATTTCAGTATTTTGGAAGGTCAGGATTGAATAATTATTTAAGTAATGTTGGATTCTTGGGCTGCTATAACTCAAGTTTTAAGACTTTCAAGAGGATTTGAATTCAGATTCTTATCTTACTTATCCCCAACAAAATCATCTTTGCGATAGAACTCAGTGATCTACATTCCAATTTCATCCTATTTCTTTTTCTGAATCGTTTGTTGTTTCTTTTTATGGATAGGATTATATATCTTAGTAATTACCCTCCTAAGAGGCTTTGCGCATTGTTTTGTGTAGCATACTCATAAATTTCAGATTACAGACTTCTCTCTTTGGGTTTCTGCCCCTGGAACTTAAGTATTTATGCTCCAACTTCGACCTTATTACTTATTAGCTCATACTTTCCTCTATTTGTTGCTGGAAATTCATATCTAGAGTTCGGTTATATTGTGGTTCGGTATTGTCAGTAGTATAACACCTATTGTCACAAGTTACCTTCGTCTGTCTCTGCGTTTGTTGTACTTTATATCTAATTATAGAAACCATTCGTATGCTGAACAGGACTATGCTCTTAAGGTCATAACCGAAACTAATGAATCATGGGCCAAGCTTGTCAAGAGATCGATTCCTGCCGGAGAACTGTCACTTGCATAGATGCATTGGTAGAATTGGAATTCCAGGCGTTCATCATCTTGCACTCATGGTGATTCATTAGAGATTTTTCCTTTTGGAGAACCGGTGATGCTGTTAAATGAAAATATTGATTCAATGTCAATTTTTTCGTCACTCGGCTGGACTAAGCACGGTGAGTAATTTAATAATAGCTTGGTTTTGTTACTGGGCACTTGAGCTTATTTCTTTATACGGTAATCATGCTTGGTGCTAAGTAATGGTTAATTTACGATGCACTTCTTTTATCTTTTGAGCTGTTCTGTTTACACCCATATTGCTTCTCTCGACACCCAATTTACTTGAACGCCTTTCTCTGGACACCCAAAATGATGTACTAATCTTCTAAGAAGACCCTTCTACTTTTAATGAAATAATATTTCGTTAGACCCCGATTTTCATTGTCTATTGGTATGAAGGCTTTCTCTTCAATTTGGCGATTGCGCTTTTGTTTTGAAAAAAAAAATTAATAATATGATTAGAACTGTGACCTACAACTAAAGCAACTTAAGAAAGATTAGTATCTGGTTTAGCAATTTTTCTATACGGAATGTTTGGTTCCCTCACCTGCAGTTTACATCGTAATCGATTCAAAGAAGTTCGTGTTTCTAATAAGAACCATTTATATAATATACCTTTGTAAAGATCATTTTTACAAAATATCAATTTAAACTAAATCATTTCATCAATTAATTTCAACAAATAAATAAACAGTCTATAATACTTTTACTAAATACATTTATTTCATATTTTTTTAATTATTTTTATAAAGATAATTTTGTATAATTTATAATATTAATAATTTTAATCAAAAGTTCGAAAATAAAAAAAAATTAATGAAAATGGTTTGAAAATTTTAAGTTTTAACAATAAAGACAAAATAAAGGGGTAAGATGAATAGTATTAGAATTGATTTTTTAGTATAAAAATGTGGTTTTTTGTTAAAGTGGACTATATTGAATGCTTTTCGTTAATTTCTTAAAAAATAACTCCTCTCAATCCATTACGGGAGAGGAATCTTTTCGGATCCACTTTGTGGGGATCCTAAGGACCCTCACATTCTAGCCGTTCATCGTATATCGTGTGATTAGTTTTTGTCAGATACTATTTGTGTTTAATTTTAAATAAAAAAGTCAATTGATTTATGATCGCATGATATACGATGAACGGTTAAAATATGAGAATCCCTAAAATTTCAAATCCGGATAAGATCTAATTCCATTGGAAACCAATCTAAACCCTGTTCTTCCCTTGGGCTTGTAAACACACAAGGAGCGAGTCCGCACGCTTTTCCCGTACGGAAGCAATGATCGTCTGGCAATAACTCCACGCTCTTCAAGTGCGCGTGTCAAACTATCAACCCACTTTCCCACCCCATCTTTAATATCAACCTTTTTCCATCATCAATTCTCCGATCGACTTCAGACACAGACAGATTGTACAACAAAATCCCCAAAACCAACCCACCCCAAAGCTCAGGTTGGATTTCGGAATAATCCCCAGAGTTCCTTTTCAAAAAATCCAAAAATCCCAGCTGTTTCAATGGCGGACACCACCGCAGCAGAAGAAGAGCAAGAAGCACCGCCGCCGCAGCCGCAGCCGCAGCCGCAGCCATCGTACTACACGGTGTTTCTGAGTATTATGAGCAAAAGGAGAACATGGGTATGTGTATTCGTGCTAGTATACGCCATCCTCCTAACTTCTTCATGGAATTTCCTCAAATCCTTGCTCTCCTGGCACAAATTGCAAGCCCAAGCGTCTTCGCCGTCGTACGGATGGCCTGCCCTTTACGCCTCGGTGCTTCTGGGGGTGGTTTTCGGGCTGCTTTCGATGTTCGCGGCGCTTGCAGTGATGGTTCCGGCGACTCTGGTGACGTGGATCGCCATCGTGGTTCTGCTGGCCTTCTTCGGGAAGCCGAGGAGGGCGTTGGTGGTTGACGGGAGGAAGATTACGAGAGAGATTGTTGGGATTGTGATGAGGATTTTGTTGAAGGAAGGGAATTTGGTGGCTGCTGGTTGTGCTGTTTTGGGGTATTTTGCACTTTTTAGGAGGAATGGGGAGTGAAGTGATTGACTGATTTGGTTGTTGGGGGTCTTTTTCTAATTTGTGAAGATTTCAGGGATCTGGGGTTTTGGATTTTGTAACATAACATTTACTTGTTTTGATTTTACTGTGGCATCTGACTGTTAATTACTTCTTGTGTTTATACATATCCTTCCTAAATTTAGCAATTTTATGGCCAATTTATAACAACACAGAAGCTGTGTGTGTTTTGGGAACTTTCGAGTAGTTGTGCTGAAAAATTGAGCGTGCAAGGGAGTAAATAGCATTGAAATGGTTTGGGCAATGGAAGTTTGTTGATTTTGTTGTGTCTTTCTTCCCTTTAAAGTTTAAAGATATCAAACTTAGAAGCTTCCCCAGACATAGCCAACCCGACAGTATAAAACTGCTTAAAGCAGGAGGAGGGGTTGACTTACAGACTACCCAGTAATCAGTAACCAGCACTCTGTCTGTGCTTGCTTGCTGTTTTTTGGTTCCCTGAAACTGAACCGCCTGATTACCAAGAGATTACTACCGAATCATAATGTGAGGACAAAAGTGCCCGATGACCAACCGAGGACAATTCCAGTCCGGTAAACCCTAGAATATCGAATGCTAGTCAAGTTTACACTATCGAATTCAAGAAAACCGTCCTAGAACTAGGTACTTAACATAATATCGGAGACAGTTTGTTGTCCTCGAAGTAGGCCCAAAACTCTTGACCCATGTGCCGGTATTCTACACTAATCTAATCTATATTCAAGGGAGGGAGAGAGCTTGATGCCAGAATGCAGTGCGTTGAAGAATAAAGCTCTAACCACAAGACAATCCACCACTTGCAGGTGAGAATCATATTGATTCTAACTTAACCGATAAAAACGGTATATTTATAAAATATAAAATATATATATTAGTAATTATATCATTTCCCTAAGCTTAAAGCTTCACTGCTTGAGAGCCGTTGAAAGTGCAATGCCATTAGTGCAAATGAAGTAGGGAATGATGCCGACAGGCAATGGAAACTTCCATATGCTAGCTAGTCATAGCATGTCACCTGTCTTATGGCAAAGCATCTCATCCTTTGGCCTTTGTGTTTGGTAATATTCACTCTTGCCTCAATGGCTCAAATACTTGCCAACTTGTCACGCGCATACACCAGTACAAAACACTCTAATGGTGAACAAATTACATTACTGCAACTTAATTTTGTTGGTAATTTTATTTTATGAGATGAATTGATTGGTTGAGGATGATACGATCAGTGGCACACATTCCCTCAACTGACAGATCAACATGTGTGCGAGCACGACTAATCCTAATATCTTCTTCACACGATTTTAGATTTACAAATGTTATGAGGGTGCATAGATATAGAGGTGCATTTGGGTAAGGTGGGTGGATATTGTACTATTATCACAAAATAGTAACCTCATCGTCAATATTTTTTTAATTGTGATTAGGTTTGAATACTAAGTTATTTTTTTCATTCTTTAGTATAAATATATTGTTGCCTTTGTGTATATAATATCACAATAATGTGACAAGTGATAAGTAAAAATCGCCCATCACAATGATTGTATCTCATTGAATGTTGATTTTTATATATTATTTTATTTTGTTCTTATTAATCAACAATTTCATCTATAGCTAGACTGACCCTCACGAAATGCAAATACTAATTTGTTATGAATTAATCGGATTAAAGTTATAGGGTCATCATTCGCTTGAATCGAAATATCTGCAAGATTTGGATCACAACTTGTATTGATTAAACAAATTGTTAGAATTCTCAAGGTAACACGGCGGAAGTTATAGATAAAAGGGATACGAATGGTCACCCTTAAATAGGTTTCTGGAACACTGGAGAATTAAGAAAAAACTCTCAAATTTTGATAAATAATATGATAAGATAATTAAAATACAACCCTAAAAGTCGTTTAAATAGTCTTAGCAAACCCTAACTCCAAATGAGAAAAAAAAATTAACAAATAACAAAATATCAGAAATATTTAATCATGTTTTGGGCTAGTAAACGCCGGAATTCGGCCAATTTTTACTAGGCTTGTTATCTTGTAGATCTCATCGTTTTCTTTGAATCCATATGTAATGAACTCAAAACTAATACATCAAACGAAAGTTATATTAATCCGAACAACCTAAAAAGTCAAAATATTCACTTCTGGAATATACTGGTAGCAAATAACCTTTTAACCCATCAATTACTACGAAGCATGAGTTTGGCAAAAATAGTGATGAATTGCGCTCGGGGAGCTAAAGTGGGACCGAGAGCAGCATAACTCGTTAGTATTCGGCTTGGCACGGCAGGAATCGGCTTCGAATCACCAGGTAAGAAAAAATGTCGTCCTATTTGCCAGAAAAATTGAAAAGACTTTCGTTTTCACTTAGATCTTACGAGAGAGGGCTAGAAAGAGAGGTTCTTTGAGTTTTTGTGAATCCCCGAATCCCATGCTCTCGCTTCCGTACCCGTGCTTCTTATATGAATTACCAATTCTTCAATCACTTTTCTTAATTAAATGTCGTCTTCTTCTTTTAATTTTTTTGTACATAAAATAATAGAAATTTTGTCATGTGTCATAAAGTGATCAACTTATTACAATATCGAGCAACCCCATCATATATGTATTCCACCAAAATATGTTTGCAAGTGAAATAATTGTCTATTCAACACAGATGCATCCATTTTCAGAAAACGAATGTTAATTGAATATATCTAATACCACGATGCGATATTGAAATGTAGTTAATTGTATAAACATGTAGTAAGTGCCTTACTTTTTAAACTGATGGAGATAATAATTTGTACCAATTATTTTGTCTGAAAATTAATGGGATGATGAAGATGATGTTTTCTTTTAACATGGATGAAAAAAGATGATTTTTTGGCTATCACACCTCTCATCTCTTTATCATTTATTTTCTAAAATCTACACACACAAAAAGTTATATAAAAAGGTGCGAAATCCCAATCGAAATCTCTAAAAAGTAGTGATTATTGTAGTTAATATTATTTAGCAATGTGATTGTGTAAATTTAAAAGTAGAATTCAAATAGGATTTGGGGGATGAACCTCTTTATGACTTGTATTACTTTTGAGGCAAGTAAAGAACACTTGATTAGTATAAATAAAGGCATAAAGCTACAAGAGAGCAGGTGCAATTCATAAAGTTTTCTCTTTCTCGCTCTTGATGTCTCTCTCCTACCCTCAACCTCTAAAATTTCCTTCAACAATAATCATATTTTTTTTAACAAACGATATTATCTACATAAGGTGAAAGAGGAGGGTGGGCTAGTAATAATATGGTTCAAATTCATGTTTTGCGAGAATGGAACCTAAACACTTACAAGTTGCGAGAATGGAACCTAAACACTTACAAGTGAAGAAGTATATCACTAGACCGTAGTACTAAGTGTCAGTAACCACTTAATAGTAGGAATAAAATGATTAGGATTTAGGAGGGAACAATTATCAATTTTAATAAAGGCCCAAATTATGTACAACAATTAGGAGGAAGTAAGGAATCATTCTTCTTCCTTTTCTTTTCTTTTGGTAAAGGGAAAGAACCCTCAACTTCAATCCTTATTTTCTTTTTCTTTTTTTAAGTTAGACCAAAGATTTCTCCAGTGAAGAACAAAGCATCTACCAACTCCAGCACATTGCCTTAATAATTAACAGTCTTTCACTTTCGTTCCTAAATTGGTTTTATTGTATTCTATACTTCTCCAACTTTCTTTTAATGTCTCATTTGTCTCCTTATCATCACTTTGGTTTGTTCACGTGACGTGCACCTCATCAAGATTTGAGGGGCAAAAATGTTAATATAAGGCCATGTATACTTCACGAATAAGAGTGTTGTTATGTCCATTCACTTGTCGTATTTTCTCACTCAGTTATTAGTGAAAATGTTTATGATAAATACATACAAAGCGAGCAGCAAAAAAGAAAGGGTGAGCGTGGTAATGACACTCACAAACAATCTGGGAACTCAAGGTCTACCATACTACATTTCTAAATGCTATATTTACACAAATTCAAAGGTCCGAAACTGCAGATTTTTCAATGAGTTCAACTAAAAAATTATGAAAATAAATCATTTTCAAAAATAGATAGTGGGTAAAGCATAATGTGGTAGAATGCAACAACAAATCTTAATCTGTAGGTTCGCCCGTGGCAGAGCTTACGATTTGGACGGTTACACTCCGTCCGTCACTCCTGCGGAAGAGAGGTTTCTGTTTTGAGTGTTTTGTTTTGGTATAAAATGAAGGAGGAGACAGTTTCTTCAATTAAATGTTATATGGTGTTTTGAAATCTGTGTCAGGGGGTTTCGTTGGGTGTCGTTAGGATGTCGTTACGTTTTTTTCTTCTTCCTGATTAGTGAAAGATAATATGGAATTTTCACAAACAAATTTGATTAAAAGAGCAATGTTTTAATTTTGGATGCGATCCTTAATCATCACTGTTTTTACTAAAATCTTATTGATTTTCAATTTTATCAAAATCCCTTTAACTTTGTATACCTTAGCATATTAAATTCCATATTAATTTTTCTTATAGAAGTTACAAATTATGAAATTTGTAAATCCCCATTTTATGGGATATCCTTTCTTCTTCTTTCTTTTATTGGAAATATGGGATATTATTTAAGACCCACAACTTGTGGGATATAAAAACTCAAAAAATTAATCTCACGTCTATATATAGTTCTCAATGTCAAAAAATATATCCACCATACACATTCTGTCACAGCCCGTCCCGAAAATTTTATATCGGGAGCGTGAAATGACGGATTTACCTTTAGCGGGTATTAAGGTATGTGTGTGTGACATTATTTGGTTTAACTTATTATAAGTTTTGGATTAAAATTTTTGGCTTTTGTTAATTTTGTGGTTAGGGAATTAGATGAAATGGATGGTGAGGATTGGTGTTGGACACCTCACACACTCCCTGTCCTCTCCCTCTTTCCCGTAACTCTCTCTCTCTCTCCTCCCTCACGATTCTCTCACTCTCTCTCACCCATATCGTACGGACCTCACCCAAAACCCTCCAAAACTCAGCGGATCGAAGCTATTAAGGTAAGATTCTTCATCCTTTCGTCATCCTGAGTTGAATGGTACTAATTTTAGATAGTGAAACCTTCGATATAACGGAAAACCCGAACCCCCCAATTTGTGTCACTGTTCATGCACATGTGAAATGTTGTGTTTCAGGGAATTCTAAGCTTATAGTGAGCTTAGTGAGGTCCCAAGGAAGCTCGGAGTGCTTCGTTTGAAGGTTTTGGACATTGGGATCACTAGGTTCGAGTTTGGCCGGTTTTTCTTGGATTTTCCCGGTGAGATTTAGTTGTTTTTAGAGCTTTAAAGTAGTATATCGTGAATCTACATGTTTGGGGCTTCAAATTGATATAAAATACGAAGAAAATGGTTGAGAAACGAAGGAGAACAAGGAGTTTCAAATTTGGCCGGAAACCGGCCGCCGGAAAGTTCAGTCCGGCGAGCCGAGGTTAGGGATGATGCGCGTGGGGGCGCGTGTCCCTGTGCCTGTCCCGGCGCGTGGGGGCGCGTGCAGCTTAAAAAAAAATTTCTAAAAATTTCTCGACTTCCGTGACGTCGAGTAGGTCGATGTGGTATATTCATATACCCAAATTGAGCATCGTATGAGAAGTTATTTCGAATTGTTGGTTATGTGTTTAAATTAACGTTTTTATAGTTGTTTCACATATAGGTGACACCTATCCCGAGGACGAGCGCATCCAGGGACGTCACGGGGGTTATGACCCATCGACTTACCAGTGAGTGGGCAGTTTTGTTTTCGTATTACCTATATACTATTGTTTTCCCAGAAAATGCGTTTATATGAAAATATGATTTAAATTGCCATGCATGCAATTGTTGAGATATTTAAATTGATAATTGATGCATATATATGTGAATTGACGCAGTGGACGCACATGTGAGTCTTTACATTATTTAGACGATTTATTTTATGTGAATTATGTTGAGAGCTCATAACCTGCACCTCTGGTGTTAGGGCTTATATTATTCACCACACCGCACGCTCGCCTTGGATCCAAGTAGGTGGATGTCGTACAGACCACTAGAGGTGGTTCCAACATGCCAATCGTACAGACCATTAGAGGGGTTCCGACTGGTGGGTGACCTTAGATTATGTGCACAGATGATTGATGAGAGAAGCACTAGAGCGTATTATTTCACCATCTTAGTCGTACAGATTACTATAGGTAGTTCCGACTTATGTGTAGTGTAGTGCCGTACAGGTCATAGTTGGTGACTCCGGCTGGATGGGATAGTGAGCTACAGAATCAGCGTTACAGGACCACTGTAGGGTTTCCGGTTGATTTATTATTTCACCTGAGTTATATTAATGCATTCATATTATATTTTGGCATGGCATGACATATTCTTTTTGAGATGTTATGTTGATAGATGGTGAGATAAGTTTTGATGATATATGTGTATATATATGTTTATATACTTATTTTCTGGGAAAGTATACAGGTTTTACGGTAAGGGGTTAGAAATGTTTTAATTGAAATGTTTTGGAAAATCTTTGGTTTTACTGACCCACTCACCTTTGTTTTGCGCCCCTCCAGGTTCTAGTTAGCAGTTGGTGGCTCACGAGGTCTTTTTCGGCATTCTGACAGACGCTCTACATGTAGGACTCACCTGCGGGTGTTGTACTTTTAATTATGGTCCTACTTGAGTGCACTTTGACCTTCGCTCTGAATTTGTGTGTTTTACCTTATAACTCATCCTTTTATTCTAGTAGGTTGTTACTGCTAGTGATTGGTTTAAATTCCTTCATATTTCTGTTATATCTTGCTTCCGTGTCGCACTTTTGGCTACGTCACGCCCACGTGACGGCCAGCACGCCTTGATTCTCTGGATCAGGGTGTGTCACATTCTCCATGTCAAAAAAATGCACCAATCTTATTTTTGTTCAAAAAAATCTACACAATCTCAATGTGGAAAGGAAAAAATGTTAAGTATCCACAAAAATATACTTCGACCTGATTTAGGGTACATATCAAAATTTAAAAATTTGGGTATAATAAATGATTAAAAAAGTTTAAAAGTATGGATAGAAAAAGATATTAAGTATATGAGGACAAATTAAAACTAAAAAAAAAACTGATACAGATTAAAATATAGTTGTAAATTTAGGTACAAATTTAAAAGTAAAATATTTGATACAGAATTTAGCTATAAATACTATAAATATACCAATTGTAACGTAAATAATTTTTAATTATAAAACTTAAATATGCTGCATATAAATTTATTATTATTCAAATCATGACGTGAATAGAAACTAAAGAATTTTAATAAAAAAAAACTAGCATTTGCCTACACACAAATGTGTAAGAACACATTTTTTTAGAAAATGAGAGGGAGAGAGGGAGAACGTGGGGGAGTAGAAGGTTTTTGTTTTTGGTTTTTTTTTTTTTTAATATTGGAGGTATTTTAACATCACATGTAGATGAGATTTCAATAAAAAATAGTAAAATTTAGACATATGAAATTACATTATTGCCCATCATTTTTTTTGTAAGATAGAAGACTAATTTGTCTTTTCATCATTTTTTGGTTGACAAAAAGAGTTTTATTAATTAGTAAAGATTAATAAAAAAAATTCATTAATGAAATAGAAAAATAAAGGATGACGATTAGAATCTAATTTTTCATTTTAAATTGTGATCAAAACTTCAACCATTGTATTGCTGCTAATTGCCCTACTTTTATCCGTTGCGTAGGTGAGATTGAAGTTGAACAGGACAAACCTGTTCAGTAGAAATATTAAAATTCAAGAAAAGCAGTGAAATCAGGTACTCAGATCTACACGCACAACACAACTCAGCAGCAAACAGCTTGATACCAACACTGCAACCACACCACACCACCCCACACCACACCACCCCATACCGCCCCACACACCCACCTCCTCTCTCTCTCTCTCTCTCTCTCTCTCTCTCTCCATTCCATTGAAAAAAATTCCATTTTTCCATTTTTGACTATTGTTTTCTTGGTTGAACATGTTAGCTCTAATATCTCTACCATATTCCCCACATGCCCTCAAACCTTCCCCCACGCTTGCTGCATAAACTTCCCTATTTTCCTTTTCCACTTAAATTTATATCAGGACACCAATGTACATTTTTTAGCAAGAGAAGGATCTGGGTGTTCACATCTGGGTTCTGAGGATAATAATCTCATCTGGGCACCAATAAATTTCGTAATTTTATTGAAATTTAGCCAAAAGGGTGTCCTGAAATCCTTCAAATCCGCCGAAATTTTGGGGCTTTTTATGATCTTGGGTTCCTCTGCAGAGAAGAAGAAAATGGTAGTGGCAGGAAATGGCCTGTTCTACCCGATTATTGGATTCGCATCGTGTGTGGCCTTCATCTACATGTCTTTCGGTAACTTGGGGTCGAATTTTGGCAACCAAACGAAGTTGAGTTTTGTGGGGAGGAATGGGACTCAGTTCATGTTGGATGGCAAGGCATTTTACATTAATGGGTGGAATTCTTACTGGCTGATGGATAATAGTGTGGATGAGCATAGAAAGCCGAGGGTTCGGCAGATACTGCAAGCCGGTGCGAAAATGGGCCTCACCGTCTGCCGGACTTGGGCGTTTAATGACGGCGACTACAATGCCCTCCAGATTTCCCCTGGTCACTTCAATGAGCAAGTGTTCAAGGTAATATTAATAATCCATGTATATTAATCTTTTTTTCTTCGTATTGAAAGTGTTGATGTGCTGTTTTGTGGGAAGTGGGAACCTTTGGATTAGGATTTCATTGAACATAAATTTAGAGACTTTGTTTACTGCGATCGAGTTCTAACCTATCTCTGCGTACCTGATTGGGTGGTGCAATTTGGGGGCTTACATAAGTGGTGATCCTGTTTTGCCATATCTATACATGAATGTATTATCAGTAAGGTTTGCTACTAAAGTAGTAAATTTACGGTTCGGTGTAACGAAAGTAGTAAAATTACGGTTCCATATCTAGTTATTTTTCGACGTTCCTTATGTTATCTTAAGAAGACCATTAGTTAGCGATATTTCTCCGTATTTTGTTCTTTTCATAACAGCTTGATCTGGTGGCAGGCTTTGGATCATGTCATTGTAGAAGCTAGACAACAGGGCATCAGGTTGCTTCTTTGCTTAGTTAATAACTTGCAAGCATATGGCGGGAAGACTCAGTATGTAAAGTGGGCATGGGAAGAAGGTGTTGGTTTGAGCGCTTCCAATGACTCATTTTTCTTCGATCCATCTATTCGCATTTATTTCAAGAACTACGTCAAGGTAATTTTGTTATGTTGCTTTACTTTCCAGGAACAAAAGGTTGCACTGCTCTTTGATTATACTTGGACAGCTCATAATCTTAATGGAAAACTGTTTATAGTAATGCCATTGATACATTTATTTATATTTTGAAATGAAGAAACAAAATTTGGTATGCGGTTAAACTTTGGGAGTCCTAACATTCCATAGGATACTTCAGTTCACCCAGAAGTATTTATGTTGCCATGAAGGTGAGGTATGCGGACAAAGTTTTGCTGCCAAGATGACGTACTAAACACTACTAGGTTTTACTTGCTGAACATTTGGTGACACATAACGACTAAGACTGCAAAACCTCATAATGTCCTGATCAATTGGAAAGATTGTACTAAATCTCCATTTGGATCTCATACAGAATCGTGTGGATAGAAGAACCTGAAATGTTTCATTCTTTGGCCTATCTAACTTTCTTATGCTTTCCTTTCCCCTGTTCCTACTAAGATACAAATGGAAGGATCTAACTGAGTGCCAGATTTTTTTACTCATGGTCACATGAAGTTGAGGAAAATTATGAATTTTAAAGCACCGAGCAACCATTAATAGGATTGTGGCGTTTAAGATCTATGAGATACATGTCAAATCTCTGGATTTTGGTAGCTATTTGTAAATATAATATTATGGAGGGCATGTTTAACTGTTGTGGATTCTAAAGTGTTTGAATGTTATGAGTTAAATGATTTTGTACCTTTGGTATCCTGAATAGGTCATTACTTTTCCTTCAGTGAATTGTGTCTCTACAATAACAGAAACCGCAAGAATCTTTGTTTTAATCAATTTTGGTGTTATGAAGATTTATAGGTTTATAGCCAATTCTAATTCATTTCCTTTTTTTTCCTCCAGACTCTCCTAACAAGGAAGAATACTCTCAATGGAATTCAGTATAGAAATGATCCTACCATTTTCGCGTGGGAATTAATAAACGAACCTCGTTGCATAACTGATGCTTCAGGTGACACTCTCCAAGTATGTTTTCAACTATTGATACTGCCTTCTTACAATTATGAATATTAATTTTAAATTAAAGAAGATTTGAGTATCATTAATTTTAAATTAAATTAATAGCCATAACTAAAACTAATAAAATGGCTATAACTAACCATTTTACAATAATTTAATTAAATATATCTATTTATTATCATTTTTTAAACCGAATTTGGTATGTGTAAAACGAACCTCGCTGGGGGTGGGGTGGGGTGGGATGTGGTGGGATGGTGAGGGGGAGGGGGGCTTAGTAACCTCTGCTATTATAACATGAATTAATTGTATGTTATAATGTTGCAGGATTGGATAGAAGAAATGTCAGCTTTTGTGAAAGCAATTGACAAGAACCATCTACTGACTGTGGGCCTTGAAGGGTTTTATGGTCCTAAAAGCCCTAAAAGGTTAACTGTGAATCCAGAAATGTGGGCATCCAGACTCGGCTCAGATTTTATTCGCAACTCCAAGATCCCCAATATTGATTTTGCCTCTGTTCATATCTACCCTGACCATTGGTAAGCTTTTGCATGTTTATTTACATTGCATGAAATTTCTCAAGTCGATATGAGGGACGTCACATCTTGCCAACCTGTTAGAAATCTTACGAATGCATGCACGGTCCCTGTCTATTAAGTACATAATCAGATATGGATACTTGAGGATATATAGATGTATCTTACCTAACTGAGTAAACGATGGAGATGCATATACCTAACTGGGGTCTTATCATAAAGGCTCAATTGAGCAAACAATCCATGCTAACCTTGGATCTAAGTCCACCTTTTTTAAATTCAAATCTTGAAAAAGGACCTTTATTGAATAAATGTAAACTAATTGTGATCCAATAGTTGACACGGATGTTTGTGCTCACCCATGAGTTTGACTATATATCAAATAAGGTTTATTATGTACCATTCTCTAAGTCTTTAATTTAGATATGAACGGGTGAGATGTACAGTGATACAACTCATCAATCATATTTTGAAACGGTATAAAAGAATGAACTGATTTAGTGGCCTATGAGAGAATAAACAACAACCAAGCCTTATCTCACTAAGTGGGGTTGGCTGTATGAATCCTAGAACGCCACTGCTCGGTTTTGCGCCAGCTCCAAGTACTCCATATCTTTTCTTATAGTCTTTTCCAAGTCTTCCTAGGAACTATGAGATAATAATTATAAATATAGGAACATGTTCATTTTATCCGTACTTCAAATTCAAATTATTGACCAGGTGGATTCGTGATTGAATGTGTGGTCAAGGTTACCATGATATCTCAAACTATTTGGCAAGAGTATTTTATGTAGTCTATTGTAGATTTTGTTCAGTGTTTAGTCATCTCATTTGCCCTATTTCATTTGATTCATTCTAGAATGTAATTCAGTCTTTTCTATCCCTTAGTTCAGCTCGTCCCCAACCTCATGTCTGTCATAATTTTGTGAAAGGATGTTTGCCCTTGTATATTCCTTATGGTACATCTAACCAGTACTCACTTCGTCCTCACTTTCTGGGTAGGTTCCATGATGAAGAATTTCACAATAACCTTAAATTTGTCTACAAGTGGATGCGTTCTCACATTGAAGACGGAGACAATGAACTGAACAAACCTGTCATGTTCACCGAATATGGATTGTCAAACCAGAACAAGGACTTTGAACCATCTCAGCGTGTTAGGTTTTACAAAACTATTTTAGACGTGATATACAAATCTGCCAAGAAAAACCAGTCTGGAGCAGGCGCTTTAGCCTGGCAGTTTTTTGTTGGAGGAATGGACGAGTATAATGATGAGTTTGGGATAATTCCGTGGGAAAGTCCGTCTGAGTACAAGATGATGATAGAACAATCGTGCAGGTTGGCTAGACTCAATGGACCAACTCAACACCAGCGAAATTTGAAAGACTTGTGTTCGCAAAGACAGTGAAATGCTTATTTTTGTCAGCAGAAAAATTTGTTTCCTTGGGGAGTTGGGGTTATATATTTACGGTTTGACAGTGTTTAAATGAGTTGTAGGAACTGCATTAGTTGTGATGTTCTCAAAGCTTTTCACGATGAAAGAGTACAGATTAACAGCCAAAAGAAAAGTCATTTGGAATTGTTGAATTAGGTTGCTTTGCTTGTAAGAAATGTTATCTGATACTTATAGCCAACCTGCATGATTGTTCTACTTCGTTTGATTTATTCACACCGCTTTCGTTCTGGTGGAATTTCGTCTTCATAACTTCAATTGGTGCAAATTATACTTCATGTTATGCAATCACACGAAAATTATACGTTTCGTGGAAATTATTCCCGTGTGCCTATCTCACTCCTGACGTGACTTGTGTGTATACTGAACCGCTGTAACCGAAACTGAAGAGCATCTACTCATGCATACAACACATTTGGTACAATCTAATCTTATTTCTTCCTGACGAATGAATACCACACATTCAAATGGACAGATTTCCAACTTAGAACTTGAAACGAGCATAAAGAAACTAATGATATTTCTTTACATATGTCGCCGGACTCGTACACATTTGGTACAATCCGATCTTAGTTCTCCCCAACAAATGCGTATAACATATTTAGGAGGGCAGATTGCTGCCTTAGAACTTGAAACGAGCGTGAAGAAATTAACAACACTACTTCTTTGTGTATGTTCGCCGGATGCATAACCCGAATTTAATGGAATGAGAAGAGCAATAAATGGCTAAACATATAATTTCTGCAATCAACACCAATAAATAAATATTTATATAAAGCAGATTTTTCTTCATACATCTGAAAATGCAAAGAAACTACATCAACATTCAGCTACGTTTTGCCAATCTGGGCGAAGTCCTAGTGCCATTTACAATACCGGAGGCCTTCTCTTTGTTCTCCTTCCCCTTGCTGCTTTTACCCTTCAATTTCTTGTCCTTGAAACTCAGCTTATTCACCTCCTCTGCCACCTTCAACACGGTCTCCGCTGCCTCCTCTTCCTCCGATCTCCGGCTCCGAGTCCTCCTTGTGGACGCTCCCTCCGATCCGCCACTCAAACCCTTTGAGGGGCTCACGCTGTTATCTCTATCAGCCTCCAAAGCCACCTTATCAAACTCATCCACCAGCTTCTTCACAAGCCTCTTCCCCTTCACAACCTCTGCCTCCTGTTCCTCCTCATCGCTCTCACTGATCACATCCAAGAACCTCCGGCGTTTTGTCACGATCGGAGCCGGAGGGGGCGAATCGGAGGAAGCCCTCTTGCCGTTGGGCTGATTACGACCCGACCCATTTGCGGATTTCGCAAGCTTTTGCTTCTCATTCTCGATCTTCTCCCTCTGCGCGCGGAGTTTGCCGACGCTGCCTTCGATGCGGCCCTGGAGCCTGAGGCGCTTGAAGCTGAGACCGCCCATGGTCCAGTGGGCCTCGTTGGCCCACGAGAGAAAGGGGTCGAGGACGTCGGCAGGTGGGTCGACGCGGTGGTCGTTGAACTTGACATCGGTGTAGAAGCGGGGGCGGGGGAGGGTGTTTCCGAAGAACTTGGCGGGGCTAATTGTTTTGAGCTTCATCACCATGGCTGCTGAATGAAAAGGCTGAAACGTTGGTTCGAGAATTTCGACAAACAGGTGGGGGGCAATAGGAAGAAGCGATATAATTAATGGATTTGGAGTTTTTCAGATTTGATAAGGGGGTTATAAAGAAGGTGGTGTGGCGGGAATTTTTGGGCGGCATAATTTTCGCGCTAAATATTTTCGAGGGTTTTAAGTTCTGATGTTATGGGAGGGAGCCAGATCTCCTAAATATTTTTGGCGCCATCATTTGGGCAAAATGCAGGGTTAGAGCCACCTCTAAATAAGATGTTAAAATGTTTAAATATTGCTAAGAGCGGTTTTTGAATTCGATACTAAATTAGGTTGCCCATTATATAATTTAAAAGATATATCAATGTACAAAAAAAAAATCAGTTTCAAATCTTTTTTAATTAATTGCTAAATGCATTTTATTATTTTATTAAACATTTATTGTAATGGATTGAGTTAGTAAAAAAATTTAAATTTTTTTAATTTTAAAAAATTTAAAAAACAATTGATTTAATTTTTCTATAAATATCTTATCATTATTTTTTACCTTATACCATAATTTTATATTTTCTCAAATACTTTGGGTTGTAATTTCTTATTTAATGACACATGGTGCAACGAGACCGACTAAATATTCTATCTGAAATTACAAATAAAAATATTTTTTATTATTTTATAAAATAAAAAATACTAATATTTTATTACCTATTGCTATGGCTATTCAATTTAGAGGTAGAGATGCAAAAAACAATTATTGTTCATTAAAAGCAGTTACTATTCATGGGAGAGGATTTAATAAGCAATTGCCCTAGGGGCCTTTCCAACCCAAGAAGTGCTCTTAAACATTATTAAAGTGCCGCATAGGTCATTCTATTAAATAAAAAATTTATGTTCAAAATTTGACATCTCCAGAGAGATGCTCTTACCTTTTCCCTTTCTAGTTTTCTCAGTTATGGATTCAACAAGCTTTTTCCTACCATCTAAAATCAATTTTTTTTTCCTTGGATTATGAGTGCAAGACAATTAAGTTAATGCAAATAATAGAAGCCAATATATTATCTATCTCTACTAGTATAAAATCAAGCCTCTATTTTAATGAAACATGCTTGGACAAAAAAAAAACTAGGCAATAAGGAAAGGATAATAATTCCTAAGGGGATTTGTCAAAAACAAAATAAAAATAATCAAATTAAATACGAATGTGTAAAAATAAAACTGTATATAATAAAAGAAAATAAAGTTGGTGACACACAGCAAAGTGGTGCGAGCTGATCCAGTGGTATGCCCACCAATTGGAGAAATTTTTAGGTGTTCCCATCATCCCACATCATCATGGACACTTGGTGTACCCAGAGATACCACGTTTTCCATTAAAGAATATTTCTGATTTAACTTTTAAGAAAATCAATTAAACAAACACTTTAATGAGAAACGTGACATCCCCTGATTGGATGGGTACACCAAGTGTGATGGTGATGTGGGGTGACGGGAACACCTAAAAATTTCTCCACCAATTGTTCGATAAAGGGTCCCACCCAACAAGCTTCAGCAGCTAACCTTTAGCTTTTTTGTATTTTAAATGACATGTCTAATCGTCATCGTTTTAAGCCAAGTTAAAAAATAAAATAAAAAGTAGAAAATAAAATATATAGAATAAATTTTTAATTGTAACGGGAACACAAGTGATACACTACGTGTTTTAATAAGAATTGTGAGAAATCTTATTTTTTAAATTATTAACTTTTTAATATATATATCTCATCATTTGTATAATAACACGTAATGTACCGATCACATTAAAAAATCTCTTAATATATAGAGACCCGAGTCGCCATTTCATTGACCCTCCATTTCTTAATTTCGATTCTCCTCCATCTTCTTCTATCTCAACCTTCAAAACTTTAACCCCCAAACCCCGTCCACCACCACATCTCGCTGGCGCACCTCTCAGCCCCAATTCCCCGTCCTAATTCTTGTTCCAAAATCAATTACTCTTATTTAAAGTAGGATTTTTAACCCTAATCCCCGATTGAAATTTAAAGACAAAATTGGTGGATTGTTTGATATTGATTGATATAATAACTTGATTAATATGTATCGAAAAAAAATTGATTAACTGCCTATTTGAACCATTGATGACATCAGAATACGAAACCACATCGCGGCAATTGTATGGTGTAGTAAAATTAAAATTTGGAGTTAATGTTAGTTTATTGGTTTTCAACATTTGGTAAATCAATTTTTTTTCATCTAGAGTGGTATCTGAAGTCATAATTTTATGACATTTTCATATATCTGTTAAGGTTACTATTAAATCAACCGTTAACTGGTAACGTGACTTCCACGTGGACAATGACTGAACGTTACGTGAATATTAAAAAATTAATAATTTAAAAAAAAAAAAAAAAAAAAAAAGTGTTTGGCTGTCTCCTCCCTCACCCCTCCCCACCTTTCCTAGTTCCTCCCCTCTCGTCTGCACCCACCCTTCCCCTTCCCTCTATGACTCCACCCACCCAACTCTACTATTGCCAGCTCATTGTGAAGACATTTTTCCAAATATTGAGCTCATTTGCTGACCTGGAATTCCACCAACCATTACTTGACACCTGTACACATTTTTGACACCAGTCCATCTTCAAAATATAAAAAAATGTATATATATTGGAGTTTGGACCCCTAGTATCTCCTTCCTCTCTCTCCCTTCTTTTGGAAATTGAAAGGTCTTTTTTACTAATACAACTACGGCCTTTTATCTTCCCTCCCTTCGCCGTCTCTATGCACACCGGCAACCAACCAATCTCCAACCAAAACTGTCACCACCACCTGCATCCAAATATTCACCACTACTACCCGCATCCAAATATTCGCCACTACCACCGCCAAGATCACCCACTTGATGTCAGATGTTGTCCACCCACAACCAATCACTCCTACCACTATGACCACCCACCCGAAACTCTAATCTTTATCACCCAACTAAAATATGAATTTGGTACCATCTTCTTCTTCTCTAGGATGCCCAACTTAAATATGATTAAAAAAGATAAGGCATAATTTTGAAAAATTAACCTAGCAAATTCTTAGCATTCTCAGTAACAACCCGTACCAATTAAATTTACGGATTTTGGAACGAGGGCATTTTGGACATTTCTAGGGTGAAAGATAGTTTAGTGATTTTTTTGGGCCTTGATTGGTAAGCCGGGTGGGGCCATCTTCCTTTTTAGCCCTCGACCTTCCAGTCTTCTTGGCTACCACGTGGACCCTTTTCTTCTTTTCCCTTCACAATCTCTTATTCTCTCTTCTCTTCCTCGAGTTCACTCTCTCTCTCTCTCTCACAACCTCATCTCCTTCTCCCCGAGCTACATCACTCACCCACACGGTGACAACGACGGCATCACTATCACCATCACCATCACCCACCACAAGTGTCGACCTTCTCCCTCCCTCATTCTCTGGGAAGCACAAAGGCTACCCAGCCTCTTCTGGAGAGTCCGACGGCTTCGAGCCATTTCCCGACCACAACTGGACTTGAAAATGGTAAAATCACAATTTACTCTTAGTGGTTTTCATTTTTGTGGGTAGATCGCATGCTAAGGTGGAAAATCATAGTTAAACGGAGCTCGGGAAGCTTCGACTTCCTCCTTCGCGAATTTGGCCTGGAAACCGGGTTATTCCAACCTAAACCTGGAAACCCAGTTATAACCCAGGCCTTTGGGCCTTGCAAACCCGGGCCTTCGGCCCACTAAATCCAGCCCAAGTCTAATAGCCCTAAAGCCCAAACCCTAGGTCCTTCGGCCCTATCTAAACCCAAACCCATTTAACCCTTGGCCCAAAACCCTTGGCCCAACCTATGTGGAACCAACCCAGATCCCAGGGCGCACGTAGATGTTTGCCTTGGCTGGCACTTGGAGCACACGCACCGCCATCGGAGGTACTATGCTCAGCCACCGTCCATGGCGACACCGTCGACCCAAAATAACGCGTGGTGGCGTGTGCGGCGGCGAGTGGGGGTACTCGAGGTCTTCCTTATGTTTTTCGACGTCCTGAATCCGTTTATGACATTCGTTTCCTGAAATTCATTCGTTATGGTATAATTTTAGTAATTGGACCCTTTATGTGCTTAGGTGCATTTATTGTGGCGTTTCCGTCTTCGCTATTTTGCATGGCTCTTCGACGGCGACGTATCTATGAGTTGACCCCTTCTAAAATACATGATTTTACTATTAGAAATGCATACATGAGAAGCATGATTTAATGGTTACGTTTTATGAAACATTTATGAATAAATTGGTTTCATGCTTTATCGACTTTACGTTCTTTGTAGTATATATGATTGATGACTATATACTATGAACATGATTTAAGATATGATGTTTGAGCTGTTGAGCTCCGTTGAGATATATATACTTATATTTTGGAAATATTATGTTTAATGATTTTTGTGCTTATCTAGTGGTCACTATATGCCTACGGGCAAATGATACTTCTATATATGCCTTCAGGTAAGTGTTGTAGGAGCCTATGGGCGATTGATACTTATATATGTCTTCGGATGGGTGCTGTAAGAGCCTACGGGCGAATGAACTGTTCTAAATGAAGAGTTCTATATGCCTTTGGGCTATATTGATACCATTATTTAGCACACTATGTATGATATATGTTTTACGAAGGTTATATGGCATGCTAGGGTTTTGGAAAACCTATTACATATTGTACTATTGAGTTTTCATAAACTTTGGAGGTTAGTACGTTAATGAATAACTGTTTTAGTAGTACTTATATATCAACTTGGTCCACTCATGTTTTGTTTTGTGCCCCCTCAGGACTTAGAATCGAGGCGTACAATTCCGACGTCAGGGCACTCCCTGTATCGGCATCGTCGAGTCCTCTCGGTGTAAGACCCATCATTTTGTTCATTCAATTTTATATTATTTCCTTTCTAGAGTCTCGAATTAGTTGTATGCTCTGAACATGTTCCACAATTGCATAATCATTGTAGCTAAACTTATAACTTTTATTTATATTCGTATTTCTTCATTCTACTCATGCATGATAGTATGGCTTCGTCACATTTGGGTGTCGGCTAGCACGTGTCTACCCTAGTGTTTAGAGGATATCAGGGTCGGGCGTGTCATTCTCACTACACCTAACATGCATGGACATTTTTAAAATCTTAATTGACTACTCTTGAATATGGAAGTATTTTTAAAATCCTTTAAAATCCTATTTTGACTACACCATGATTTCAAAGTATTATAAAATCCTCATTTAAAATCTTAATTGACCACATATTGATTTTAAAATCTATTAAAATCCTTTAAAATCCTATTCCGAAAGATGAGGTACGGAGAGAATCCAAATTCGTAGAAAGCAGGTGGAAGGTATAAATAACTCTCTTTCCAATCCAATTATTCCTTCCATCAAATTTTGGTTAAAGTGTTTCACCATAAGGTAGCAGGGTAAATTAGCCGAACGAGTATTCACACACAATGTGTTTCACCATAAGCTACATAGAACTCACTCTCAATGGCGTCTTCAGAGAAAATAAGTCGGTTCACCACTAAAAGGTCGCCACGTTTCAGTACATGGTCATCCAGAACACATTGGATTCCCCTTGCCCGTACCTTTGTTTCCGCGTACGATAGCGGAACGTACCTAGCAAGGCGCGAAACGCTCACACTTTCTCTCTCCTCTTCTCATTGGGCGTCCCACTCTCGCTTCGCTACTCCCTCTCTCTCTCCAACTCTCCTCTTTTTCTCCAACAGTCTTCCATCTCTCTCTAAAATCTCTCTATCTCTCTCTCTCTCTCTCTCTCTCTCTCTCCCCGCATACAATTCAAGACGGAATTTCAGAATTCACACTTGCTTTGAAAGGTTTTGATCAAGTTTTTTCGATGACTTTGATTTCTGGCGGTATTTTTTGATTTTCATAGGAAAGAATATTCAATTGTCTTTCTCTCTGTCTCCGTCGTTTTAAAGTTGTTTGGTCCCATCTGTTTTTCGAGGGATCGTTGTCGTCGTCGTCAGTTGTGGATTTCTGACATGGCCTCTTCTGCTTCCGGAGAAGCCCTCAAACCCTCCGTCTCCAACAAACTCAAGCAGCAAGAGGTACTTTTTTTTTTTGTAATTTAATTTGATTTAATTTAACCAATTCGACTTTTGGGTTTTATTTTTTCTGGGTTGCTGTTAAATTTTGTGATGGGGTTTTGCGATTTTGGGTCGTTTGTGATGAACTTTTTGACTCGCGGGTTTGATTGATTGCCTTGCAATTGTGGGTTTAATTCTTGAATTTACTTGGAGGCCCTGCAATTTTTTTTATAAGTTATCTGGGTAATCTGGTGCTTTACTTCTTGGTTATCAACTACATGATATGTTTTTTCACAGTTTACTCTTCTGCACTAGTGGTTTATCTGTTTCTTTACCGAGTGTTTTGATCACTCACTAAAAAGCTTACAGTCTCAGCAAAAGCTGATTGTTTCGGTTAAAGTGTCTTCTTTTTTGTTGGCATTGAACTTTCAAGAGCTTTCGCAATGTAAATAAATCCACTTGTGATCGTCACCACCTGTTTAGTTCCATGCGGAAATGTGCATCGAACTTGTTATGATCGCTGTTATTGTTATTGTCACAATTACCATCTGCAAAGTTGTAAGCTTTCAGTATGGTGTTGCGTACTTGCTGTTAATTAAAAATACTGGTGTTGGTTTGACCTTTTATCGTTACCCTCGCCACTCGTATTATTGCAATATATTGCATTGTTTTCAATTTTAAGAATACCAAGTTTACATATGCAACGGAAGTTGCAAAGAAAAATAAATTCTTATAGGTATGTATGTTAATATTTTAGTTGCAGTAGTATCGAACAATTTCAGCTTCCATGAAGTAATTTTTCTCCCCTAGGGAGCTTGTTTACCAACAAAGATCAATTAAGAATTTTTTTTTATAATGGTATTGAAATTGACTTGGTTGGTAATGGAAACAGTTAAGTTTTGAAGAATGAGATGGAAGAATGAGTTAAGCTGTATTATCTGTAGTAATTTTACAGTAGATGATTATTAGTTCCCTTTTCTTATGTCTTATGTACCATTGCATGATTGTAAATTTGTACTACTTTCTGTAGGGTGCTTTGGACATGGACAGTGATGCTGGGAACTCATCTAGTGTAGTCGGATCAAAAGATGATGTTGATCTCCTAAAGAGTTCAACATCAGGATCAACCAATTCAAATGTTGTCAAAACTTCCAATTGTTTTTCATCTAATGATGATGATATGAGCATGGACGATGAAGAAGACGACGACGACGATGATAATGACTATGATTACGATGACAACGATGGTTTTCTGTATGATGTTGGTGATGATTTGCAATCTCAGTTTGATAATGTGGACTTGCCTCCTGGTGTAGAAGCAACTCTTCCCTGGTTGAATGATCCTTCACCGAGTGAGAAACCATCCACTAAGACGCTAGCTATTTCAGATCTACCACCATGTAGTTCAACTGTTCATTGTGAAGCAAGTTCAACTGTTCCTTCTGAGGCAAGTTCTACTAAAGAACCGGCAGACAGCAATGACGACAGTATCATGCAAACGTCTCAACAGTTTAAGCAATTTGATATGGTGGAAGATTTCTCGGATCACCACTTTAGCCGCATGGGATTTTCAGATGGGCAGGTGAGTTAGTTAGTTGAACTTGTGCTTCACACCTGTCCCCTCCCGAACATTTATGTGTGAGCATGTGCGTGTCCACATCTCTCTTTATAGATGTTCCCTGGTCTGGCTGTGTGACACAGGCTTGAGTGCACAAATAAACTCTGCATGTGCAAATTGTGGAGTGTGTATGTCTGTTTTTGTGAATATGGACTAATCTGTGTTTGTTTCTTGATAGCCACCCAAGTCTTGGGCTAAGCAAATTCAGGATGAGTGGAAGATTTTGGAGAAGGACTTACCGGGTGAGTTCTACCGATTCACTATGCTTGATTATACAGGTGTTGGAATATTCTTGTGTTTTTAGGTTCTCTGTAGTGCTACCGTTGTTTTCCCCATTAGAAACTTCACCTATTTTTCAAAATCAGTTCCTTTCCTTTTTGGTCATGTCATGGCATTAGTTTAGTAGGTTGGCTCATATCCTCTCTCATTTCAATTTTTCTTGCGCAGACACTATATTTGTCAGGGTTTATGAAGCTAGAATGGAACTTCTGAGGGCAGTAATTATAGGACCTCCGGGCACTCCCTACCATGATGGTCTTTTTGTCTTTGATTGTCTCTTCCCCACTAACTATCCTAAATCACCACCGGTGTGTATTTGGTGCTATTGCATTGGTGCTTTATTTTATATTTTGTCTATTGTAGATAATTTTGATTTTCTTTTGTCAGATGGTATACTACTATTCAGGTGGTCTTCGATTGAATCCAAATTTGTACGAGTGTGGGAAAGTTTGCCTCAGTCTCTTAGGCACTTGGAGTGGCAAACAAAATGAAAATTGGGTCCCAGGGCAATCAACAATGCTACAAGTTTTAGTCTCTATACAAGCTCTTATTTTGAATGCAGAGCCCTTCTTCAATGAGCCTGGTCATGAGAGAACGTATGTTGGAGCAGAAGGGCGAAGGCATTCCCAAAAGTACAATGAGGATACCTTTATTCTATCTCTAAAGACAATGATATATACACTAAGGAGGCCGCCTAAGGTATGATTGCAGCAACCATCTCCTTTACAGTACACTCATCTTCTATTTGTATTAACATTTTCCGTTGTTTCTTGATGGAGGGTTGATTTACTAGAATGATGAAGTAGATTGTCTCTGCTGAACTTTGACTTGCTACCAGAACAGTAGGGAATTTTCTTTCTCACATTTGTGCTTTGTGGGGTTGAAACAAGTAGCCTTGCTGTATAAACACCGGTTCTGATCGAGTATTATTGTAGAATTTAGTTGTGCTAGGATGGTTTTCTCTGCTTGCTGTTGCTGTTAGAAAACTACGCTGCTACCTAACCCCCCAAGTTCCAGAATGAATCTTAGCAGCTTAGATGAAAAAAGTGAATAGGGAAGTCAGTTTGTATGCTATCTTTTGTTTTGAGAGGCACTTTCTGTTTTGTATCTTATGTTTGTAGGTCCGTCACCTAACCAAGTGAGTTTTCTTGCAGTATTTTGAGGACTTTGTCTTGGGCCATTTTCGCGATCGTGCACACAATATTCTGGCAGCATGTAAAGCATATACTGAGGGCATTTTGGTAGGGTCTGATATCACGTCCCAGAATGCAGAAAAAAGTGGCTCCTCACAATTCCGGGCAACTGTAGCTAAGATGATGAATACACTCGTTACACATTTCACCAGAAATGGATCAACCGACTGTGACGAGTTTCGAGTTGGAGCCTGAATCACATTTGATTGGCAGCTGACTTGATGGGATTGGGAAGGTAATAAGATTTAAGATAAATTAGCGAGGTGAAACGAAATCATTGGACCTGCGTATGGTATTTTTGGTTTCCATCTGCTTTCCAATACTGGTATTTTGGAATTGGTTAGTTCATTTTTCAGTCTGTTTTATCGTTCGGGATTCTGGGGTAGTTCATGTACGCATAGTAGAACTGCGACTTGGCTTATTGCTACGTTGATCTAATTGTGACCTTGTTTAGATGCTTATTTCAATCCTAGCCAAAACAATTTATGTCAGTTTCCCACGTGGTTGCGTGACGAGTTTTGCTTTTTGGATTCCTGTTGTAAAAATATATTATAAAATTGAAACTCTTATCATACGGACAATTACCCTAACTGAAAAATCAGGACATTAATTTACCCGAACCAAAAAAATGATGGTCTAGGACCCAAGCCCATTAAAAAAAATTCTAGCGATGAACGGCTGTGATTTAAGCCCTTAAAATACCGTCTCATGATTTTTTGCTTTTGTTGCATTCTCTAGTACATATATCATCCAAAACCCTGTGCCTTTGCACTAAGTAGTATATTTCCTTGACTTCCCAAGTTTTCTGAAACAAAACCTAGCAGCTACCTTCCATTTATTTTGCCCCGTCTTGTTTTCATA